CCCCGCTTTGCGCTGGGCCTGGTGGTTGTCATGCCGGCGGCCTGCTGAGTTCGCCTGCATGTAGTCTTGGTGAGCCTAGCAGTGCCCGGGAGCCGTAACGTAACGCTAAACCATTAACGTAGCGTTAGCGTCTTGCTGTTTGCTTTTAAGTTAAAAAACGTGCGTTGTTGTAAGGCGTTTTAGGTCGAAAAGCCTGCCTGAGGGTCCTCGCTGCCCAGCAGCTGTGTTTTTCTCCGTTCAGAGGGCAGTTGATCTGGAACGAGCTTTCACGTTCTGCCCAGCCAGAGTAAAGGATCTGTAGTAGGAGACCTGTGTGGTCTTACAGTGCTACATATGCACTGTTTATGAGCCACATTTTACCTACCCTGTTACAGTAGAACAATATAATTAAGTAGCTCTGTTAGCTGGATTCTGTTGAGTTTTGTAGTTGATCATAACCTTTTTCTTAAGCCTTTCTCATTGCTGATATATTAAGATGGCCTTTTCCTTGTTTGGCCTTTTTGGTATGTAATGAAATAGGCCTATCTGCAGCCATTTATCAGTTAGAGGGTTAAAGAAGAAGAGAAACACTATTGGGCTGTGTATTGTCATTAAATCTATAGGAACTTACTGTTTGGAGATGCTTTTTTCTCCCTCAAATTTGGTTGAAATTGAGAAGAAGGATAGGAATCGAGCATTGTGGTGAGGTGGTTGGAGCATATGGCACATTAATTGGGAGAGGCTGAGGAATAGAGGTTTTTCCACCTAGAGAAGGTGATAAGGGGTTATCTAATTGCAGTCCTCCACTACCTAAAGGTGAGAGGGATAGACAGAAGACATATCCCCAGTCTTGTCAGTTAGGAGAGGCAAGTCACCTATAGGCACACATTTTCGTACTTGAAAAATACTTATCTATTAAGTACAATGATTAAATTTGACAGATAGCAAAACAGTTTGTAAGAATTAGTATCAGGTGCATCTCAGCCTCTGAAAATCCAGCATCTCCTTCAGTTGATGATCCTTGTCTCTGCCAACCCCCATATAGTCTCCTTGTGTATTTGTGTGTGCCTCGTAAGTCTCCAATTTCCTTCTCCCTCATTATGTTATTTTTTTATGATCAAAACTGCTTTTCTGTCTGTCATACTCAGCTGATTCATCTGTGGGGCTGACTGCTTAACATAAATCTTTCAGTGCGAGCATTCTTACTGCCTCCTCTTGAAAAGTTTCATTATGATTGGTCTCATCTTCAGCTCAATTGTGTCAGTCAAGGGTGAAGGACAGGAAAATGTGTAGTTGATGAGTAGCAAGCAAGCAGGGTGTTAAATAATTGGTGCTGTAACTCTAAAACAGTGAATGCAGAAGTGATGAGAGCTAGCAGGAACTGTTCATGTAACAGCACAGGCTGTGGAAGCTGGGTTTGGTTAACCTGGAGAAGAAGAGAAGACTATAATGGACCTGTTTGTAGTTTCTACTACGTGATAGCAGGAGTCAGACTCTTCAAAGTAAAGCGTAGAGGATGGACTGGAGACAATGAATGAAAGCGGTAACAAGAAAAATCCTCATGGGAGGAAAAATGGAAAATTTTTGCGTAACAAGAATGGTTAACATTGGAAAAAAAACTGCCCAGAAAGGTTGCAGAATGTCCATCCCTGAAGACTTTGAACAGTCATCTGAGTAAATTCCAGATCAATCTGAGTCAGTGTAAGCTAATGTAGCTTTGAATTGAGCCCTGCTGTGAGCAGGAGGTTGATCTAGATCATCTCTGGACGTCCTTTCTGACCAAACTGGTCTATGATTGGAGAAGTGGAGCTTGACTTACAGCCTAAAAACGCTTGTGGAATTTAAGCAAGTTGAGGGTTGGTTGTTTTTGTTTCTTCTTGAATACCCGTTTTGCTTTTAGAAACTTTATTTTAAAGACAGATAAACTCTGTTTTTACTTTTAATTTGCTGCTTGCGCAGTGAAAAATTTACACATCTTTCCTGTGACAGGATTTGAGATCTCAATGGCCAAAGAATCTTTTTGAAGGCAACAGGCTGAAGTTCATAAGTATTTATGATAATAACCTGACACGAGTTTTCTCTTCTTCAGATAGAACATTTGCATCTTTTGAGAAAAATGTAGCTGCTTTAAATGTGATGATCCCAGCAGGCAGTCTCATAGCTGAGCAGTTAAAACATACTTATATGCTGATATTCGTAAATTTTTTTCTGTGCTATTCGCAGTTCTCTTTTCTACGTCTGTGGAGTATTTATATTTAGAAGTAACGTTTTGTTACATTACTTCTCTAACAGCAAAAATTCAAGGCATGAAAAATGCTGTTCCAAAGAATGACAAAAAGAGACGGAAACAGCTGGCTGACGAAGTTGCCAAACTGGAGGCAGAACTTGAACAGAAGCACAAGGAGGAATTAAAACAGCTGCAAGAAGCTTCACCTGAGCAGAATAAGGTAGATGCCTTAACTTTAACTGGAACTGTACAGAAACAATTTGTGTTAGGGCTTATTTAACTTTTAAAAATTATAATGAAGGTACACTTTAAAGTATTTCACCTTTTCCTCACAGTATTAGTAACTCTTTTAATCTTTGGAAAGATTCAGCTGTTACGGTGGGTGGGCATTGCTGTTGGGTTTTGTTCTTAAGTCTATGTTTGTAGCTCAGTAAAATTTTTTTTCTAAGTTCCTGTTATATTATTTCACTCTATTTATCTTACTTAGACTACTAGAGTATTGTTGGCCTTCAGTAGGCATTTGACTGCTGTAGTGTGTTTTGTCTTGCAATTCTGTCAACAATGTAACTGACCTTTTTGTAAGAAGATGCTTTCTGTGATGATGAGAATTATCTTCTTAAATGCTACTGTTCTGCCATGTTGGCAACATAGCTACATACTTAAATGCTTCCAGTTTGCTGTTTGATGGCAAACCACTTAACTTTTAACAGAGGCTTAGCATTATTCAAATTTAGCTGCAGAAAATATGACCACCTGAGTAAACTAGATACTATTAAATACTTGTGTGACAAAAAAAAATCACCTATGTTTTAGCACTTAATTAATACGTAGAGTGTTGGAAACTCCTGTCATAGTGAGTTTGCAATCCATAGACTTAATTCTGTATATCCAGTACTGAAAAAATCTCTATTTGTATCACGTGCCTGAATTTAAGGACCGTTTGTGCATGTAGACCTGTTCATATATTTTTTTTTCTACCTAAATGGGCATAGAGCTTATGGCTGAATTGGTGCAATACAGTTGTCTATGACTGATGCTTATGCTCCATCCTTCTACATCTCCTTAAGTGTTTCCCTAACAGTGTTTGTCTTTTGGCTGTTTAAATCTTGTAAAGAAACAAACAAAAACCTGTCTGCATTACTGTTTCTAGACTAGGTGTTTTCTGATTAGTGACCTAACAAGAAGTTAAGCAGAATGTACTTTTGTTTGAAAATGAGAGTGAAAACATTACTGAATGACTTTTAGGGAAATAGACTTGATCTGCTGAGAATTCTTGTGGGGAAAAAAAGGTTTTCAGTTGCGAGAGTGATGACCCTGTAACAATCTTCTGTTGTAGTTTTTAATCAGGTGCTTGAGCAGATGACTAATGCATAAGCATTAAACATAACGCTTCTGTTTACCTGTATCGTAGATTGGTTTTGAGAGTTTGCTTTATTGTGCTAAATGAGCTGTCAAAACTTTATGATGGAGGACCTTTCAAGCTAAAATCCTTGCCCTGGACACAGCTTTGCCTGACAGGATTTTGTTTTGAGATGTACAGTTTCTTTCACTTCTCATTCTTTTTTATTCTGAAACATGTCCATGCTTCCAAGGGTGACATCTGGTTCATACTATTATGGGGTTAGCTTTGTCATTTTTCTTGGGAAGTGTCAGCTCCCTGTCTTTTCCAACTGCTGGTTATACTTTGGTATGGAAGGTGGAGCCTTCTCCTGTTTTAGTTGTCACAGAAATTGATAATGGCTGTTTGGGTACTTCAGTCAGCTGGCACGATGAGGAAAACTCTCCCTTTCAGCCTGTAGGCAGTGTACGCACTTCAACGCGTGAGAGCATGTATGGATTAAGTTTGAGATGCGCAGTTCATAACTGTCTCTTTGTTGAGACTACAGAAAAAGTAACAAAATGCACGGCAGTGGTTTGGGTTGTGAAATGCTTTACTTCTGGCTTTGTTGGATTCTGTGCTGTACACAGATCTTTGTGGTTAAACATCATAAATATACCCTGGAATGACCTAAGAACAGAACTTAAAACTGTTTCAGGAGATGCACATCTCAGTTAAATGTTCTTGTTAGCATAAATAATAACGATTTTTTTTTTCTTTTTAGACAGGTTCTATAGCTGATGGGGTTGCAAATTTAGAGCTTGAAGGAGTAGAGCAACAGATCCAGCATCCTCGAATATCAAAAGCACAGAAGAGGCGGGTATGACTTAACATTTAAAAATTTTACAAATATTTTACTGAAGTTATATTCACTTAAACTTAACTGTAGTAACCAAAGTTAAACAATTTTGCAGAGGACATTACCTGGCTAATTTAGTATTGATGCTGTACCTACTGGGTGCCTTGAAAATCTGTAAAGCTGATACCTAGAGATATGCAAGCGTTTTATGAACAGTTGTACTTTTTTACCCTCAGCCATGAGCTGGGAATCAGAACAGGTCAGGAGATGACAAATGATTTTAAAAGAGTTTCACTAAAAACATTAATAAAGAAATAAAGTATTGAATTAAAATAATGTAAAAAATGCTACATGGAAAATGCGCAAATAGTAGAACTTCACACATTTAACAAAAGAACGCTAATACTGAAATTCTTGTCAATTTTTCAGTTGTTAAGCAACACTACCTGGTGTCCAGGCCATTAGGGTTAAATCTCGTTAAGCTTCAGATGTTAAATTGTGATGGATTAACATTCTCATTATAGCTGCACGAATGTTGGTTCATGGCCAGAGGAGCGCTGCTTTATTGCAGAGTCCATCCCCGGTTACACGATCGCTACTGCAGAGCTGCCTTGTAGCAAACATGATTAAAGGATGTTCTTCATTCATGGCACCATGTCTAGGCAAACTAGGAACTCTGTAGTCTAGTTTTCCTATATTGTGGTCACCTAAACCAGTCTGCTCTTGATTTGTGGTGAATTTTAAGCGTAGAAGTGAAAAGATGCTCTGTACTCTTCCTTTTTTATTTGCTCGTTTACTTTGGCTCTTACTCCCTTGTTAACTTAAGCGTAAACTTAGGAAGAATTCTATAAAAGTGATTTTTAAGTAATGTATTATTACACCTCCTCTAGTTTTCTGTGTATGCGTTCTTATCCATCCTTTAGGTTAGGAGCAGTCGTTTATGATGTATAGTACCTAGCCTGAGGGAGTTTCAGTTTCATGACGTGAGCTCCATTATGCAATCATATGTGTAAGTGGTAGATCTCACACTCATTATGAAAGAGCAATATTTTCTGGTGTTGGATTAGAATTCCCATACTTGAGTTGTCTGCCAATGTGATGAAGTAGTTGATTCTGAAGAAATGACTACTATTAATAGCCTTTGTACAGGTGTTGTAAAGTGGGGTTTTGCACGTTGATGCAATTAAGATTTCTCCTGTCACATAACTTCGGGTGTGATGTCAGAGGCAGTTGGGATATATTGGTCACTTAACCATTCGCAAAAGTTTGGGTTAATAGGTCTCTAAGATTTGGTAGTACTGATTCAGGAGAACAATTCACAGTTGTGAATGTACTGAGAAAACATTTGAAGCGTTAGAAGCAAGCACTAAGCCAGGAACTGTACAGGAATCTTCTAAATTTTAACATTTGATGTAATTTTTATGTGGTTTTGATCTAAGGAAAAAAAAGCTGCTTTGGAGAAAGAAAGAGAAGAAAGGATAGCTGAAGCTGAGATAGAAAATTTAACAGGTGCTAGGCACCTTGAAAGTCAGAAACTTGCCTCCCTATTGGCAGCAAGACACTTGGAGATTAAACAGATCCCTTCAGATGGCCATTGCATGTACAGAGCTATTGAAGATCAGCTCAAGGATCGCCAGAATTCCTGGACTGTTACAACTCTGAGGAACCAAACAGCGAAGTATATGCAAAGTCACTTTGATGACTTCCTGCCATTTCTTACAAATCCTAGTACTGGAGAGATGTATACCAGAGGTAAGACTTGTAGCGTAAGAGATTTTAAAAACTCTTATAACTATTTCTGATAGTTCTCGATCTCAGTTACAGCTGAATTGAGACTAATCTGTTACAGTGTTTGTTCCTGAAATTTGTTACTTTGTTGGTTCAGCTGTGTTCTGTGGAACAAGGAATTATGATCCGCAATGAAACTTGGTACACCTGAATCTTTGTAATTTATCTTTTTTTTTCAAGTAATCTAGCAAAAATTATTCCCCATTTAAAAAAAAATAAATCAGAACTTGCTGGTTGCAAGATGATAATTATGTTCTGGGATGTGATTTAAATTGTATTAAAAACTTGTCTACTAGGTTAAGGATGAGTTTTTTGTCCACTTTTATATTAATGTTTTAAATTTACATAGGAAAGCTGTTAAAAATGAATGTGAAATTCAACAAATATATTTTATAATAGTTTGCATAGATGCTTTTTCTTGTTCTACCCTTTATTTTTACTGTTTACGCTAAGTCTTTTGGAGCCCTTTCAGACTAAACTGAAAAATATAAAGGCATTTAGTGTGGAGCATTGGTGTAGGCTGAGTAAATGCACTTAAATGGAATTTATGTACTTCTTAGTTGAGCAATACATGATTTATTCATTTCTTACTGTGTGTCTGGAACACCATGCGAATGACGTTTTTTTAACTTACTGCTACATGCATTTAATAGTTACTGCTGTGGATCTCATTTGATGACTAAGGGCTGTTGAGAAGTAGGAAGAGTCTTTGTCGTATTGAGAGAGAGAATTGTCACAGGATAAATGTGCCCCAAGAGAAGACTGAATGGAATTCTGCAGAGCAGCAGGGAGTTGTGGTTTTCTTATGACTCTTAAATCTGTTATAAGGGGAATGTACAAAAAACAATTCTGAGCAATCTTCAGAAAATCTGTTATTTTTTTATCAGAATCTATTCATAGGGTTCAGAATCCTGAAGGATTGTAATTTATAAATTTGAAGGCTTGGTTTCTGTAGAATATGATCTGCAAAAGGTTTATTTAGCTATTAACAAAGGAACTATTGATAATAAATACTTCAGAGGTTAAAAACAAGGCCATTAATTTGGAAGTCTTGTAAAAAAAAAAAAAAAAGAAGAAACCAACCAATGGTTGAACTACTTGTACTTACAAGATTTGAAAAACATACCTGAAACTACCTAATGTAAGAACTAAGCATGCTACTTGCGATCACATTCTTTTCTGGAGTCTGAAACAACACCCTTGGAATCTTAACAGGAAGAAAACAGTATGCACTTTCATGCTTGTTGTTAACAGTTCCCTGAATAAAACATTTAAAATACAGACCTGTGCTTCTTTTTGTTCCTTTATTCCCATACTTGTTTTTATTCCTGTCCTGAGTCTTAATTTTTCTTTCTAAAACAGTTATGGGTTTTTTGTCCTCTGGTATTTTCCTTTTCTTTTCCTTCTCTTCACTGAACCTACGTATTTTCCTGTATAATGTGTTTGGATTTTTTAGGTTCTAGTTCTTCATTGTACAATCAGTATTTTTCCTCAGTTGCTTGTTCTCAAATAAGAGAAGTACTAAAAGTTGTATTTTCTTTCCCTGCAGATGAATTTGAAAAATACTGTGATGATATAGCAAATACAGCTGCATGGGGCGGGCAGCTGGAAGTAAGTATTGATAATTTTTATTTGCAAAATTCTGAAATGGATGTATGTGTCTTCAAAAAAGAGCTTCTTAAGAAAGAATACCTGAAGGCATAAGGGCACGTAGTCAGAAATAGTTTATCCAGAGCTTTCTCCTATGATTATAAATTGTTTTCCCCAATTAGTAGCTTTTCTGATAGCGTGCTGCTGTTCTGATGTGTTCGACGACATGCAAGTTAATGAAATCCGTAGTTCTAAATATCCCTAGAAAGACTGACAGTATGAGTGGGGGAAGACTTTCGAAGGAGAAAGCATTTTATTATGCAGACTTAGATGGTAGCAAAGCTGACTAGAGCTGAGCATTGTTATATTTTTGTAATGTAAACCAGAACTTAAGAAAATATGTATTTGTTTTAGTTTGTGTCTTATTTATTGTTTTACGAAAAAGTAGTTACAAATTGCTGAAGCTAGCCCAGTGTTACCTGTGTTGTATCATCAAAACAGTGATTAATTTAAGGCAACTTTTCTCAATGAAAGTTTAAAAAGTTGAAATAATTTTTCTTATTTTAATAGTTTATTTTCTAACAATATTTGAAGTATTATGCCCGAACTCATGTCTGCTAAATCTAAATGCCATGTCTTCCTCTCTCCTCTCTACATTGGATTTAATCCTATTATTGAATTGTTTTTATGCTTTAAAGCTGAGGGCTTTGTCGCACGTTTTGCAAACACCTATTGAAGTAGTGCAAATGGATTCCCCTCCCATTATTGTTGGTGAAGAATATTCAGGCAAACCAATAATACTTGTGTAAGTATGAAATTTTATCCCTTCCTAAAATTAGTGCACTTATTTCTATAGCAGAGAGCTCAGCTTTCATTCTCACCTGCTCTTTTATTTTCTGTTATGTATTCGATGTTGAAACACTGCTCAAATAATGATCTTGCAGGTCAGAAATTCCATTTGTGATTGACACACTTAGTTTAAAGATTGTAATTAGAGTTCTTAAAATGCTGACAATCAGCCTGAAGTATGATTCAGTCACTGCTTTATAGAAGGCTGCAAGGTCATTTTACCTGTTAGATAATTACAAAATAATAGTGAAATTGATATAAGATGTTGCAGGAAGCTTTTTTTTTTCCTCTTCAAGGTGTATGTCAATCTGTGCCTGAAAGTCACCAGAATGAAAAACTGTCTATATTAATACACTTCTGTTTAATGACCCTATATATTTTCTGTGCTGAAGCCTGAAATTATTTAAGCTATCTTCCAGTGCTGTTGATGTTTGGCATTGCACATACTTTTAGCTAAACTGAACACTAATTCTGTAACTTTTTTTTTTAGGTATATGAGACATGCCTATGGTTTAGGAGAACATTACAATTCTGTAAAACTTCTAACAGATACTGCTACAGAAAACGGCAGCTAGCATACAAGAGTCATAAATCCGCATGGATAACAGTCACATCTTGATGCATTGGGCTCCAGACAATTCCCAGACAGACTGGAATAAAACTAAATGGAATGGATTAAAAATGAGAAAAAGACATACAAGGCTTCAGTAAAAATCAGAAATAGCTCTTGATTTAAAACAAAACCAAACTGAAACTACACAACAGTATTTTGAACTTGTTGGTATTAATCATGTTTAGAAGATCTCTAAAGCAATGGCTGTGTGGATCAGAAATTTTGTTTTAATAGAGCTTCATCCCATGCTGCAGTGAAAGTACCGAGTAGTAAATGTTTTGGTTAATCTGCATTTCTGCTGAAGGATTAAGGTTACTTGAAAGTTCCTGTTACGTTATTTCTGGCAGATTTTGATGATCATGGAAGAGTTATGGCATTTAAAATAGTTGATATTTTTTTTTGATTGGTGGAATATTCTCTACAGTGTTTCTTTACTTCCATCAAGATCTAGCTTAAATGTTGTAGTGGGGATCTCCTTTGTTTGGGCAGAGAAGAGCTGGAGGCAAATCCAGTAGCAGAATATCCTACTTGGCTGAAGGAGTTGCACAATGTTTTTATTGTAAGGACTTTCTTCTAAAATTTTTTCCAAAGTTCGAGGACTTCACTTTTTTTTTTCCCCTTGCTGTTAACAGTAGAAACTGAAAACTCGATGCTGTTCCTAGCACTGAATCTGTGGGAAGAGCATTGTTGTTTATGGCTGTACACCATAACATTGATGCAAATTAACTGTGCTGTTCATCCTTCGTAGTCTTGCATTTGTGCATTTCAATGATACAGAAATCTTTCAAGCAAAAAGCTCCTCAATGTCCAAACTTCAGGTAGTGAAACTCCTCTGAACTCATCATTTATGGGTCTGCTGATCTAAGCACTTCATGGTCTAAAGTGTGCTGTTTTATAATACTTAAAAGCTGTTTGCATACAGGTATAAAAATAACCACATTGGGTTTTCTCAGTAACTTTAAAAGGTGATCTGCAGAAGAATTAATTTTCTTTTTATTGCTCCTTGTGATGCACAGACTTAAAGAGTGTTTTTTTTAATATTTCTTGACTTTTTACATTAAAAACTTAGACTTTTGTCTTTAAGTCACTGTAAATGTGATTCCAAAATTAGCAGCATACTGAAACCAAAGTTGTAATGGAATGGCTTTTTAACAATAGAAGCAATTGTAATGTTTTTTTTGTGATGGTTGTTTTGTTTTGTTTGTTTGTTTTTAAAGCCTTGCTCAATAACATAATAATTGTCTGTGTTTTAGTGCTGATGAGTTGATTTGGAGAAAAATGGTTCATGTCAAGTTTAAACACCTTTGCCCTGATTCGAGGATTATGAGCTAACAGTGTGCATCTTGTAGTCCTTCAGTAAAGCTAGCCAGCAGCTGACATTCCTGGGATTTATAAATTTGAAAGAAAAATCTGCTCTTACTTAAGAAGAAGGAGATAAGTGTTCACTTTAAGGATCAGATTATGTCTGATTTAAAGCACTTTGAGAGAGGGGGGGAAAAAAATCAGACAATTATAGCAGGTGGTTTTGGACAAGCAGAACTTGAATTATGACTTCTTTAGACTGGTACCTGCCAACATAACAAAGTATTAACCAAATCAGAAGTTTTTACATCCTTATTTATCTGATACTGTATAGCAAATATAGCTGTATTTATAGCAGCTAGTTTACTGTGGAATTTGGCTTACTGTCTTGATTGTATAAAACAATGTTTTTAATTTCAAACAAAAAGTTGGATAAAACCATATGGAGAAAGTGTCTCTATGCATGATACCACTATGAAGTTCACTAAAAATAATAATCAGAAATACTCTTCTCTGTGTTGCTTGGAATTGATGTGTTACGAAATGCTCATACTGCATTTTATAGATACCCTGTGAAGAAAGTTCTTTGGTTTATTGAGTTTTCATTCTTGTATAATTAACTAACAGTGAAAAGATGCCAGAATGATGTAATGCCTGTACCAACAGTTTGTCCTGTTGAAGATGTTTACAATTTGTATAAAGCGAAATGATGTTTTAATATAGTGAATGAAAGATCCTTACTCATGCTGTATGGGACTTGCCAAAAAGTAATAAATTGGTTTATTTATGGCAAAGCTTGTGATCACTTTTTATTTTTTACTTAAGATTATTTGCTTGTTAATTCCTAGTATTAATAAGTTTATTCTCTAATTTTTTATGTCTTTATGGTCTTACTGTTGTATGAATTCTCCGACAACTTACTAGTCCTATTCAAGCAGACAAAGCTTTACTCTTTATGAAATGGTGTCTAAACAGAGTTTGTCCTCAGTGTTTTAGCCGTTATACTTGAACTCTTCTCAAAAGCTGAATTTGAAAGTACTATTGACCTTCTCATAAAAATTGAATGAAACGGAGAGATTTTTTTCAGAATTTAGCTTTTTGTCAGATTACATTTTCCCTGCAAAACAGTACTATTTCTTTTGAGTTTATATGTATATGTATATATAAACTCGACAGCTGCTGAGCTGGGCCTCACCGCAGTAGACTGGGACATGGAAGAGACCGGCCTCCTCTGGGAGCCAAACACGGCGTTTAGTGTTGGTCCTGGTCCCCTTTGCTTAGTCTGCACCTGGTCTCTGCTCTCCCATGTTTCACCAAAGCTAAAACACTATGAAGAGGGGAATTTGTTTCAAAACTGCTGGTGTGGAGGCAAAATGGTCACTAGAGGCACTTTTTGCCTCCAGTCCATGCTCTGTCATTCCTGTCTCCTCTTTTTGACAGGCAGTTCAACAGGAGCTGTGACAAGCTCCGGGGGAAAAAAAACAAGGCTGAGATTTTGAGTCTATGCAGAACACATCCCCTCTGCTCCTACTCTGACTGAAGGAGTAACAGGTGCTGGCAGCAGCATGACCAGGCAGATCTGGTGCTGTGGGATGGTGGCCCCACCTCTGTTGTGGTAATATTGCTTGAGTGTAATATTGTTATGAGTTACAAAAGTGAGAATTATCATAGCTAAGTACGCTGGCGGCAGATGAGATAGGAGCCTCTTGCGGTTGGTATTGGGGCTGTGGATTTTGTCCAGTTCTCCAACCTTATTCCGTCACTGTTGGTTGCCTGGCAGCTTGTGAACTCACTAATGTGACAGTTGAGTAAGTGGAAATAGGCAGCGTCTCTTTTGTAGAAGATAGGATGTTGCAGTGCAGGCAAATTGTGGTGTAATACGTTCTGGGAAGTCCTGATCAGACACTGCATAGGTGTGCTGGGTAAGTGGCATCTTCAGGGGTGCAACAGCCTTCATGCTGAAGGAGTGAATGCTGAATGCCCCAGAGGTACCCTGAAGGCTGTGGTGAGAGTGGACGTCAGAATGTGCCATCTACATCATCTGGCTAGACAAGACAATGCTTTGGACCATCATCTTTTACAGGCCATGGAATTGTTGCAAGTTCAGCTTTCTGTTTTCAGTCCTCAAGACACAACCTACCCTCCTCTATCGCTCAGCTGATCTTATGGGATGTATTTATGAATGACAAGCAGCCCATGTTGATTATTTAATCTATGTAAGTAGCTGAGTAGACCCGAAAATAGGATCCGAAATATAGAAGGCGTATTCTGTGCTTTCCTTGCTCCAGTAAGAATACTAACCCACCAATTCCTTTGTTTTACATGCCTAGTAAAAGCAGCAGATGAGTTACGATTAATCACTAGAGGTACATTATATATGTACTTTTGAATACAACTGAAGACATTAACAGTTGTCTCTGTTTGTTATAAGTAGGTATATCATAAAAAGCATTGCTCATGCAGATGAAAATATTTGGTAAAATTCAAAATAAACTGATGTAGTCTCTATGTTCCAGATTAATTAAATACATCAGGATGTCAATTGAGAAGCTTTATCGTCTTTACAAATTAGAAAAATTGGAGTGCATAAGCTTAAATAGTAAGAAGATAAAAAAGCACTCCTAGGGAGCTGTTTTCTACAAAGGCTCCCTGAACTTCATCAGTTTAGCAAATATTTTGTCATGATACCTAAATAGATTAAATATATGAAGAGTCTAAAGATGCTGTGTTTGTCTAGAAAACTTAAAACCCTTTCACATGTGAGCAATGCTGTTTTATTTTTTCAAAGTACTTTTTTGTCCTTTTGAAGAATAATGTCTTACAAAAACATTTAGCAAGATGCCTTTTTTGAAATTATTATGTAAGTAATCAAGATGCATTTTAATAATTGCGTTCTGGAAGGTGCTTGAATACTCTTTCAAGGAAGCTAAAGACACGGAGATTTTAAACTAATAATTCTTTCTTATATACATATGTGTCCCATAAAACTCAAAATATGAGAAAAAACCTCAGCAGTATAAATAGGCAATAGTTTGTTGTCAAATCCTGATAAGGCTTCCTTGCGTTCAGAATGAGTGAGGAACAAAAGATGACAAATCTAATGAAGAACCATTTTTCTTTTAGCTGTATGCAGAATCATAGAATTGTTTAGGTTGGAAAAGACCTTTAAGATAAGTCCAACTGTTAACCTAACACTGCCTAGTCCACCACTAAACCGTGTCCATAAGCACCACATCTACATGTCTTCTAAATACCTTCAGGGATGACAATTCAGCTGCTTCCCTGGGCAGCCTGTTCCAATGCTTGAGAACTGTTTTAGTGAAGAAATTTTTCCTAATACCCAGTGTAAACCTCCCCTGGCACAACTTGAGGCCTTTTCCTCTTGTCCTATTGCTTGCTATTTGGGACAAGAGACAAATGCCCACCTCACTACAACCTCCTTTCAGGTAGTTGTAGACAGTGCTAAGGTCTCCCTTCAGCCTCCTTTTCTCCAGGCTAAACAACCTCAATTCCCTCCGCTGCTGCTCGTAAGGCTTGTTTTCTGGACCCTTCACCAGCTTCATTGCCTTTCTTTGGATGTGCTCCAGCACCCCAATGTGTCTTTCTTGTAGTGAGGGGCCCATAACTGAACACAGTACTTGAGGAGCAGCCTCCCCAGTGCTGAGTACAGAAGCACCATCACTGCTCTAGTCCTTCTTATACAAGCCAGGATGCTGTTGCCCTTGGGCACACTGGGCACACTGCTGGCTCATATT